ACCATTATACCCCCCTACATATAACTAGTTGGAGTCTCCTGTTCCTTCAAGAAGTTCAAAGTAGATCAGAGCGTATTTAGATAGCTATTGTGTACCAATCAGCCACCAACCCTAAGTTAGGGGAGGAAGATCCTTCAAAGACTTTATTTGAAAAAAAAAAAAGACTCATATATGATGTGGTATGTGGGAGATCTACACCTGTGTTTCCAGGCCATGGACACATGTTTTGGGCTCCAGAATAGTCTGTGTTTTTGTAGGACCCAGCCCTGACAAGCTTAATAGAGGTCTCAGTCTTAGTAGTTTACCCTAAGGAATTACCAAGTTCCAAGAAAGATCACAAACTAAGACCACCCAGGCATCACCCAGGGCCAGACCATCCAATGGAAATTCCTAAGGTTCTAACCATTGTAAATAGGACCACCTGCCAGCACACACACCCATCTCTTTTCCACAGGACATCCCTAGACAAATGTCAGCCAATCAGGGGTCCTGAACCTTAGAAATTCCTTACCCCCACTTTTGCTACTATAAAAACCCAACCCTAACTGGCTTGGGGCTCTCCAACCACTCCAATATGATAGACATACAGAAAGTCCAAGTTTGCAAACTTGTATGAAATAAAGGCTCTTTGCTTTTGAATACAGGACTTGGTCTCCTAGTTGGTTTCGGGGGAACTCTGTGATCTGGGCATAACAGTTCTATTCCTTTGAGGAGAGAGCTGGTTTTCTGTTGGTAGTGGCCAAACCTGGGTTCATTGATCCCCAAGTTCTGCAATGTTGTGTAGAAAATACCTCACCAACTAAAAGTCCCTGAGAGAGAGGAAACAGCTATAACTAATCTGAAAGGAGAGAGTTTACTCTTGAGATCTTTGGTTCTCCAGCTCCTGAGTGTAATAATCTGTTCTGTTCCTTTAAGAGACAAGTCCCGCTCACTCCCTCCCTAGTCTGCTGAGGCAAACAAAATTTCCTTCTTCCAGCCTGAACTCCTTCCTTTCCATCTCTCCCCCAAAGAGGTAGCTTCTCGTCTCCTCTCTTCCTCCCTCTCTCTCTCTTCCTCCTTCTTCCTCTCTCTCTCTCTCTCTCTCTCTCTGCTTATCCCTGCTCTTCCTCTTCTTCCTTCCCCCCTTTCCCCTCCATAACCCACTAAATAAATACCCACTTTCTCTGCATAGCATGCCTATCTGTCTTTGTCTCTCACCCACTGTGCAGGGACCTGCTGCCCCTCCTGATCCACTGACCACTGCTGCCACTCAGGGAATGGTGCCATTTTATTTTCACCATTACACCGAGTCTTAAGAAACTATAAGGTCCTGAGTTCAACAGCACACACCGATGGTATTTATTTCTTGAGGCCACAAGAGACAGTGAGCAAAGGGTTTTGGACTGCCCAGGGAGTCAAGGAGTCTATTTAGGCTTTGGGGAAAGGGCATGGAGTGTTTCATGAGAAGGAAGCACTCTTGCTAATGTGTAACTAGATGATGGGGAGGTATGGAGGACAGATGCACTCCCTTAACATCTAGTCCCTCTCATGCCTTAGTCTAGCAACCTGAGCTCTGTAAGCCTCCTGGTTGCCTGTCATTCTCTGGACTCTTGGCACCCGCGGAGTCTGTCTACAGACTCACAGGCTCTGAGAAGAGTGGCTGTGTCTCTCTCTAGTAGCAGGGATCTAGAATCAACTATGAGGATGGGCTCGGGCACAGGAGGCTCCAGCTGGGCTTAACTTGAGCAACATCTGGTCTGGAACTTAGCTTTTCTTCTCTGGAGTCCTGATACTGGATACTGGCTGCCTGGTACAGATTCACAGGCAGACTCTCCCTACTGTACAGGTTAGTGTGGCCTGATTAGTGCCTAGTTTAAATCTAACAGGAACGGCGTGATGATGTTAGTAAGCACGCGAGAAAGAGCTGCCAGATCTCCAGAAGCAAGTGTTGCACCTGGGATTCCTAGTCACTCAGTCATGATGCCAAGTCTTGTTCTAGCCATTACCTCCAAGAAACTAATGGCCCATTAGCTCATTAGCTCAGGCTTCTTATTAACTCTTATAACTTATATTAGCCCATTATTCTAGTATATGTTAGTCACATGGCTCAGTATCTTTTTCAGAGGGGCAGGTCACATCTTCCTTCTTCGGTGTCTGAACAGGAGTGGGGAGGAATGGACTTCCTCCTTCCCAGAATTCTCCTGTTCTCATTGACCTGCCTCTACTTCCTGTCTGGTTGTCCTGCCTCTACTTCCTGTCTGGCTACTGGCCAATCTGCGTTTATTTAAAACGTAATTGACAGAATACAGAATTGTCCCACACCACTGACTGATCCTGGAGAACCTCTGAATATCACAATACGTGCACTGAAGGAACTTTTCCCATTGTATGGATTTCAGGATAATACATGTTTCCCTACCTTTTTCCATCCGCAGGAGATCTGAAAGAGGGGAAAAGCTCTTCGAACCATCTGAAAGGTGATTTGATTCACGTAGAAACTGACGTTAGAACATTCAAATCAAGAGATGTATTTCTTGTAACATCCGCTAGAGGGCACAGAAACCCTAACACAGCTAAATGCAGCCACTCCTACTGCTTTAAGCTTTAGGAAGGTCAGAAAAACTGGGAAATTGGTGCTTTCTTATAGGTGGGGAAACTGAGACAGACACAAACATACACTGACATGTGAATAGACTCAAGTTCCTAGAACACAGCATGAACCAGAGAGTCACTGTGAGGTTAATCTTGAGGTTCCACTTGATGGGATCCATGTCTCTAAGGGAGTTTCCAGGCCAGGCTAATAGAGGTAGAAAGACCCCCCACAACTATGACCGACACAGCTCCATGGGCTGAGCTCCTGGGATGGATGAAAAGGAGAAAGTGGACTGAGTACCAGCATTCATCTCTCTCTGCTTCCTGACCGTGGATGCAACGCAAGCAGCAACTGTACACTCCTGCCTCTGTGATGATGGTTCCCTGGCACCACAACCCAGAACAAACTCTCCCTTAAGCTGCTTTTGTCACAGCAATGAAGAAATGATGAATGCAGTTATGAATGCAGTGTTGGGTACCTGGCAGAGAGGGGGCGAGGCAGTAGAACCAGCCAGAGGCTTAGGAACCGATGGCTGGAGCTGTGGAGTGAAGCGGTCGAGTGCTAAACCTGAACTTGGAGGAATCAGGTCCTGCAGAGGCATAGTCTGGACTTGTCTGTGTGGTGCAGAGGCCAAGCAGACATATTAAATGCAGGGCCCAGTTTACATAGAGCTGGGGTTGGAACTTCACACATACTCAACAAACTCTCCAGCAGCCGAGCCACATCCTCAACACAGCAGATGCCAACGTTCTCTTCCGAGAAGACTCAGATGAATAGGCCGCTGTCTCCACTGGCTGAGAAATGAGGGGTTGCCCTGCAATGGGCAGCCAAAGGGCTCCTGAGCACCAATGGTCTCTGGTGGTTTCCGGAGGTCAGTTGCTGTCCTGTCCAGAGGGGTAAGTACTGGAGTCAGCCTCTCTCTCTCTCTCTCTCTCTCTCTCTCTCTCTCTCTCTCTCTCTC